CCCCAGTGCATTTTAAGGACAGATTAAGGATATTCTGCAGAAGAAATACTTCAGAAACAAAAAAATAAGGCTTCAAAAGTAACCCCAGGAATATAAAATTAGCTTTCCAGTGCTGTATGTCAGTTTTATGCCCCTCATCTAAGCAGTTCAAATGAACTTGCACTCAAATGTTATTAGATATTGGTGCCATGGCATTTATATTTCCAAGTATGCAAGGGACACGTGCACACGAGCAGAAGCACCAGGTCTAGAGGGCACGATTATATTCCTGTTTATTTCCCCAGTTACAGCAGGCTACAAATGCATGCTATTTATTGCTATTTGTCTCTTTGCAGACATTCAACCTTAGAATTTTTATCTTTCCTTTGTAATATTTCTACTTTAATATTCTCTATCATAGGGGGTGCTACCAGTCCGATTATTTCTTGGCTTGCATTGCCTCATTTGAAACAGTTTCCACCCAAACCTATTTGGTTCAAAATGTTAGTGACCAAAATTTCACCCTTGAGAAATGAAAAGTGGAGAGACCAATGATAGTGAAGAATTTGAAAGTGCCCCAAGTCCATTTCCAAGCAATAACCATTTGCCGTTTCCACCTCCCAGTCCACAAGAAATTCAGTGGGCAAAGTCAAGGCAAAGACCCCATTCATCTTTCCTTTGTGTTTGCAACACCAATTGCAGCTCTGAATTGATAAACTGTTATTGATGTTAGAGATCAATGAGATTAAGCATGTGCTTAACTTTAATCACATAAATAAGTCCATTTCTGAATCTGGGCAGCATTATCCATCACTGGGCAGAACTAAGCTCTTTCTGGATAATTAACACTTCATTTGCTTTGCCATGGCCAGTGGTCCTCACATATGGTATGAAGAATTATATATATTAAGAGCCTGGTTCAGAATCTAAAGTCAAGTACATTCTTATCTGAACAAGTTTATCATACCAGAGAACAGCCTGAAATCATTGGCATTGTTCAGTCCTTGCTTTGCTAAAGTGAAGGGATGCCAGTCTGCAGAATCAAGAAGGAGAATGAAACCTGGGCAGAGGACCTGAATGAATTACAATTTGAGTAATTAACCAAGCCCTATGAATCCCACTGTTGGAATCAGTTTTCCTTCTCATTAACATTCTTTTATATTTTCAGTATAAAAGTCTTCAATTGAACACTGAATAGATTTTATTCATCTCAAAAAATATATATATTATAGTTAACACTGTTTAGTTCGAAATGCTCTTGTGCAAAAGAGCTGATCAGTTTGGTTTGGTTTGGGGTTGTTTTTTTTATCATAAAGTTAAGCATATTCGACACACTAGGAGAATTTAGTTTAAATTTCTAATTATTCAAATACAGACTAAATGCTGCTTTATTACTTAGTATATCTTCATTAATTATCAGTGTTGAGGATGCATTTTAAGAAGTTCAGGAAGTTTTGAAAGCACTTTTTTAGTGGCACAAGAAAACTCTCAAGTTTTTAAGAACATCATCATGATTAAATAAACATTTAATTTTATGCTTTAATTTTAACTCAGCTGAGTCGACAAGACAGAGTGGTAAAGGAGTCTTCATGGATAAAATTATCCAAGAAGCAAACACAACTGAAAAAAACACAAAACTTGCAAATACTTGTGTTTTCCTCTAATTGCTTAGAAATCAACTGCTACAGGACATAAATATCTGAATTGATTTTCAATGCTAGACACCACAATTCTGAAAGGGAAAAATGATATTTTTTTTTTAATTTACAAGCTGCGTATAAAATTCGTCACACATTTTGATCCCACTTAAGCAACCATTAATGTTCTCCTCTGGGGAGCACAACACCCTGTTCACCTCCTGACCCGTTGGCCTCCTGGAGAAAAGGATTGTGTGATCATTTCAAGAGCTGTGTTTCCCATGTGGATTTAAGTAAGAGAAAAGTTGCCACTCACAATAACAGCCAACCTTGGTACAAGCCCCTTGATCACATGCTGTTAGCAACATAGCTCTGGATTTCTGGTTTAAAGGAACTGATCAGGGAGCAGACCACACTCCGGAAATATTTCTACACATTCAAATACGGATGTATCCATGAAAAAAACAAAGCTCAGAGTTCTCCCTCTTTGGTCACCTTCTTTATTAAAAATAAATTAACAAAAATGACTTTGCACTGCTGGCATTGCCAGAAGCTCTTACAAAACACAAGTATTAAAGAACAAAAACCCCAGGCCTCAACAGTGCACGGGGGGTTTGGGAGCACAGCCGTGGTCTGGAGTCAATCACAGCTTTAATGGCCCACATTTGCACCGATTTGCAGTTGGGAAATAGGAGATTCACCGAGCATATTGCACAAGCACAGAGATGTTCCTGGAGCCAGTGAAACAGGACAGTGAAATGCACTCCAAGCTAGGAGGGGAAGTAAAAGAGTAAAACAGGGCACAAGCACAGTGACTAAATGTAAGCGCACAGGACTCTGTCACCTGTGTGTCCATGCCAACGTGCTCTTCCAACGACACATCCAGACATGATCCATCACTCAACAGAATGTGCCTCCTGTCCCATGAAGGACGACAGGCAGCAGATAAATCTGGTCTAGTCCATATGGTGAGCAAGAAGCCTTTTTTCCCAGCCTAAAGATTAACGGCAATTGTCAGAAATCTTAACGGGGGCCAATGTAAAGATAATTTTAAACTTACAGAAATTCCTAAGCGGTTCATCATGCCTTGTCATGAAGTAATAACCACATGCAAAAGCTGAATTTAGTGTTAGACAGTCTATGGGGAAATAAAGGGCGGGGGGGGGATAAAAAAAAAGAATACACTTAAAGCTGAATTGGCTTGCATTTCCCAGTGGTCTCAGCAGCCCAACAGAGACTGCTCTGCCACCACCCAACACTAAATATGACCCACAAAGACCAAAGCACACAGCCCACAGGAAAAACCCAGGAAAATGTTTGCATTCCCTCCAAGCTGAAACATTCCATGGGCAGGTTTCAGCCTCTCAGGAAAACACACCACAGTGCTCAGCAGCTATTTCTAACCTCTGGTTTGCTTCCAGTCAGAACCTCTCCCCTCTTGCATCCCCTAGTGCACAGCCAGGGTTTCCAGCAGCCATCTCCCTCCTCAGTCAGTGCCAGCCTCCAAAACACTTCTCACTTTTTCTCTCTTGTCCTCTTTGCCCTAATTTTATTCTTTTTTCCTGATTTCTCTACTGCAAGACAAATATCCTCATATCACCATGAATATAACTATAGAAAAGGTTACTTAAAAGAGTATAAATCACCCATGATATTTAAAGGGTGTCCTTTTAGGATCTGGGGAGGACTTGTTTGGAAAGAGAGGAGGAGCATGGCCCAAGCCAGCAGCTGGGCCACCAAGTAGTGCAGATGGGCTCCTCAGGAGTGCTAGGGCTGCACACCAAGAGAAAGTAAGAGAGGATTTCACCAGGACTTCCCATGGGCATGGGCCATACCCAGAATGGTCCACAGAACACACAAGCAGGTCAGTAAGCCACCAGAAATGCCCCAAGCCACAGCAGCAGTAGCCAAAATTGGGCAGAAGCAGGGCAGGCAGCAAGATCAAACCCTTCCATGCCTTGGTGGGGCTTCGATGGGCTGAACATTGCCATGATCACTCCCCAGGACTGTACATACACATGATGTTTCTGAATATAAATAAATAAATACATATATATAAGAGAGAGATTTACAGTAAGAAAAACACAGCCTGCTAGAGAGATTATATGAGCAGAGGAAGCATGCCAAAAGTGGTTGCTGTTTAATTTCAGCATACATACTGCCTCAGGTACAAACAAAAGTCTCAAGAATCCCATTTAAAGCTCTAATCAGGCTCTTCATTCATTTTCTAATTGGTAGAGCCTGATCCTGCAGCATCCAAATGAAGAATCAGGAAGAGAAGAGATGCAGGTCCAGGCTGTGGTCCCCCTGTAACATACTCTCAACACACCACAGACATCTGAGGAGGGACTTCACCCAACCTGCAGCATCACAAAGTATAGAAAGCACCTTACCAGTGAGGCTGTTAACTTTTGGGACTGTCTTTAGTACTCAAATGTTTCATTACTTTTTTTTTTTAAATTTTATTTTTCTTCACTGCCAGAAGCTCAGTCCCAAAAGAGCAATCAGCCCTGAACTCATCCTAACTCCTCTCCAAAGGAGTGAAGCAGTTTGAATATCCATGCCTTACACTGGCTGGGAGCACAGTAGCTCACATGACATCAGAACATCTACCAGGCCACCACAGTGGTAAAAGAGCTCCTGAAAACAGGGCAAGTTTGTTTAGAACCATTGTGGTATTTTCATTGCACAGGCCACAGTTAACCACCTGCCCACCTGGAAACAGGATTTTGGGGTTTTTTGCCTCATTGTTTTCCATCAAGATGTATTTGAAGGGCATTAATTGGACAAAATCCAACATACTATCAAAGTAACTTTCCTAATAGGTTTCTTATACACCACAAAAAGTAGTCCTTTGAAGACATTCCCCCAATATGCTCGTTTGCTGTTAAAAAAAAAGAATGTTTCTCCCTTTGTTATTTAAAGAATCACTTCTTTTAATCACTACTGAAAAAATAAACTAGAGATATTATTTTTCATTCTGTATTTTTAAATGGATTCAGATGAGGAATCAAGAGGAAATCTCATCACTTCTTTGTTCTTATGAAAAATCTCAGACTGAAAACATCCAGTGTCCTCTTGTTGTTGTCAAGCCTAGAGCCATTAAGAAGGTGGTCTTAAGAGATAAATAGAGCAGTGATGCTTCACCTCCTTGTTCAAATGGAGGTTTCAATAAAGCATTGCTGACTTTTTGCAGAGGAATTATTTTGCTGCCTCTGGGTTTTAGGATACCAGCCATCCAGAGAAATCTTTTGACATCAGGATAAGATCTACTATAGGTAGTATTTAATCCTTTAAGACTAAAGGATTAAGCCAGTTGACCAGGAAGAGAAATTAGATTTAACACCTGGAAAATTCAAAGCATTTCCAACCTTCTCGTTCCAGGGTTGCTCTCGTAGTCCAGACAAGAGCACTTACATGGAGTTTAGCTTCTACATTTAACAGAAAAAGAAACAAGTTTATATTGATCTAAAGCTGACGACCTAGTATAGAGATTATATTGAAATACCACAAAATGGACTAACAGACATATAAAGGTCCAGAAGATGGGGATCTTTGTTGTTTCTAGGATGGACAAATGCATGCCTAAAACCAAGGTCAGTATTCATGAAAAAAATTAGAAAGCATGAAATGGGTGTGCTGGACATGGCAGCCATGAGCAAGACCTGGGAACAGTTTGCATTCAGCTGTAAAATAGCAAATATCTCTGATTATATTGCTGCTAACCTAGTTGTGCCTGATGAAATCTGCCTTTCAGATGGCTCATGCTTTTTGCTGGCCTTGTCCAAACTCACATCTCAGCCACAAGGAGCAATTACAGCATCTACAGAGACACCAAGTCTATGAGACATAAAATGTATGCCAATAGCAACAGAAAAAAAAATGAATTCTGAGAGAAGGAGAAAAAAATCTAACAACTTTTTATTTAGGAAAGAAAGTAATTTTTAACCCCCAGCATGGCTTTGCTGAGTTTATGCTGGGAAGGTGTGGTTACCCAATGTTCTGGGCAAATATCATCACCACTGACATCCAAAACATCTTGGCTTCATTGTTGCTGTTCTGGGCAGTCCTCAGACAGGCAAAGTGAGCCACAGGAAAGCATCGGCTCTGTGACACAGCAGCATTATTGATTTAACTGGTTTGTTTCTGTCTATGTTTAATTGGTATGTTAATAGCATTTTAATCCACGTTTCACTCATATGTGGCTGATAGCACAATGCTGGTATGGCTGTGGTGACATTTTCTCACCATTGCTGTCTGTCATCAAGCACCAGGCCAGCACTGTGAGGCTGACAATACCAAATGCTTTGTTTAATTAGGCATACTTTACACTATACTGTATAATTACCCAGCAATGGCTGATTTTTTTTTTTTATTAAGTAGGCAAAACCATGAAAAACCTTTAATCAAATAGCAAAGATTTCTGCCATCTTTTAACACCAGTATTTAGCATGACTAAACATTCAAATGAAGATAAATGAGAACTGAGTGGGAAAAAAAAAAACAAACCAAACCTGCTGGTAAATTTGGAAAATCCCCTTTAAAGTTGATGCCAAGCAGCATATCACCAGAGCATCAAGCAGCATGATTATCCAAGGTATTCATGCTTAGAAATATTTTTTCCATATTAAGATCACTTCATCTCCAGACAAACACTCTATGGGTCTGTCACAAACAAACATTGGCCCATGAGAGATATTTCCAGAGGATCATGGTCAGCCAGAGACAAGGACAATGTATGTGCCTTTGGGCCACCCATCTCCCAGACACTGTGAAGCCTGAGCAATGAGTAATTCCAAGAGAAAATATTAAGACATTAACCAGGACCTCTCCTAAGGGTCTGCTGCTGCCCAGGCAATGAACTCAGCTCACAGACTCAGAGGGCTCAGCTGGTTTTGCTCAGTTCCAGATCCTTCCCAAGGAGAGAGATTTGGCACAAAGTGTGGCCCTGGGCAGACCCCTCGGACCATGAACAGCTCTCCTCAGCCTCACAGCCCTGCCAAGAGCCAGAGAACTTTTCACTGTCTGAATGCTGGCCATGGTCTACGACTTCTTCATCCAAATATTGGTTGCCTTCCACCTCATGTTTTGGTCTGTCTGATGGCCCTCACCCTCATTTTTCTCCTGCTATATAATCTTGCTTTTGACTCCACTCCTTCAGTCTCCATCCCTCTATCACAGCTTCTTTTTTCCTCCCATTTCACCTTGCTCTCAGATTAGTAACTTAAAGCAGAAGTTGAAAAGCAAAAATATCCTAAATTAATTTGGCATCTGTGCTATTTAACTGAATCAGATGCCCTGTTTAATTACCCCAATGCTATTGTACTATTACTTTGGGAAAAAATGGCACAGGAGTGTGCTACAGCTGCTTCCACAGAATGCACTCTATATAATAATCAGGAGCAGAAATATTTCACAAATAGGAAACTCTCTGGGCTCTGTATGGATCCCAGCTGGCAGGGGAGCTGTGCATTCAGGCAGTGCTGGCCATGCAGGCACCAGGGGCAGCACAGAGGGGCAGCTGGGCTCTCCCAGCCCTGGCATCAGAGTGGGACCAGGGCAGCAATGGCTGCTGCAGGTAGGGAGCATCCCCAGTGCCCAGACTCCTTCAGCAAGAGGCAGGGCACCTGTATACACCTCTACACCTGCCCCTGATGGTGGAATGCCCCTGCCCACCTTGCAGACCCTTGGTCTCTGCACGGGAGAGCTTTGGAGGGAGCCCTGCCTGCAGCTCCATAAGGCTCTCCACCACCTGCCTCGCTCAGAAGGGCAACTCTCACAGCAATCACATCACAGAAAGTGTGAAATGTCCCCAGGATAAGGTTTCCCATAGTGCTTGGAGGTGTCTCAGTGTGCTCAGAGGCACTGCTGAGGTCAGATTCAGCACAGGAGAGCAACAGGGCTTCACAGGGAGGTAAAGTGGGGCAATGTGCACAAAAACACCCACTTTCTTTTTGAGAACCATAGGGGGAAACTAGAATGAGGGGAAAGATCATGGAGAATAATAAAAAGTGAGACTTTTCCAATTTTCTGTGAAAGGTGAGAAAACAGATGAAGATTTTTGAGAGCAAACGTAACACACACATACATGCACATACATACCCACCATCTCTACATCCTGGGGAGAAGGCAAGCTGCTGCATTGTGTAGAGATTCAAAATGTAGAAAATCAATTGTAAATCACGCGTTCTGGATTCTTTGAGATGAAGTGTAATCTGATTTACAATGTTACAAAAAGAAATTAAAGTTAATTCCAACATGATTGCGGGTATACCGCAATTTAATACAACCATGCTGTGGCCTTTAAATCTCCACATTGCAATATGCCAACAGTCATTACTTTTTTTAAGTTTCATATTTTATTTTAAACTATAAATTGGAAATATCACATAGCTTGTTATTTACATTTCAGAATTAGGATCTCTGCTTAGAAACACAGTGCTCTATGGTGGAATACGATTATTGTGCAACTACCATACAGTTAGGATAGTTAAAGGCACTCCACTTCACCTCATCATTTTTTCTGCTTAAATATTATGCCACATTCTGATTAATACCAGACCAATAAAATCATCTTAGCAATCTGGTTAGAGTCTTTTGTCTACCCAGATGGCCTGCAATGTTAATGTGTGACAATTTCAACAATGAACTAGGACTGTTTTATGGAACCAACATTTGTTCCACTGCTTTTTCTTCTTAGGCTCAGAATTTTGACACAGATGGTACAAATTACTCAAAAAAACAGAAATGTTCATTTAGAAGGCTTAAATATGTGGTTTTACTCAGGCCATCCGAATCTTTTACATTTACAATTCAGTAAAGTTACTAACAACCCTGCTGTAATTAAGGTCTATAAAAATCTTGCCTTCTTTCCCACTTGCTTTTCCCCTTCCATATCTACAGCATTTCATTATGCATCCAATTTATTAATATTTATTCCAGTTCTGAAATGTTTTTAATTTTGAAGGATTTACACTGTTCAATCTTGCATCCGATTCTTCATACCTTCCTAATTATGGAAAAGGGGGGAAAAAACATTTAATCTGTAACCACATCTTAATCCCCCTAGAACCTACACTTTTCTAGATCTTAGAATAGAAAAAAAAGAAAAGATAAAACTATGTCAGCAGCTTCTGGCCAAACAGCACAGCATTTTCAGTGAAGCAGAAGATTTTGTAATCCTGACTTTCCATACAGATACTCAGGAAAGAGTAAAATGTCTCTGAGAAATTACAACAGGAAGAGGAAAATAAAAGGATTCTTATAAAGTGATTTCAAGAGAGAAAGGGTCTAAGAGAAACCCTGGACTAGAGACATTTGCACTTACAGTTTGACTGAGCTTATAAAGACAAGAGATTATTGTGCAAAACTGCCAGAAGACAAGAGAGTTAAAGTAGAGCAACTGCTCTGGAGCTTTTGCTGCTACCCCAGGGAAAGGGGAGCTGGCACAGGCTGTCCTGTCCAGGCAGGGTCACGTCCTGCAACACTGCAGCTCCCCCAGACAAACTCCCCGCTGTACAGCCAGGCAAACCACCACGAGTGTTCCCCAAAATGGTTTGGCTGCACACAGAGGTGTGGAGGAGCATCCCAGAGTCTGAGACCTTGCTCTGCTCCAAGCCCAGGCACCCACCAGTCCTGGCTCAGGGCATGGTCTGCAAGAGCCCTTGTGCTTCCAGAAAGGCTTTGGGGCTCCGGGAGAGACGGCTGAAATCCCCCATGCAGGTGCACAGCACCCTGTGAGTCCCCAGAGCAGGGCTTGCTTTCAGCACATCCTTCCACAGTGATCCTGGCAGCAGGCACAGCCCCAGAAATCTCGTGCCATTTCACAGCACTGCAGCTGCTAATGTTTACTTCAGTGCCTTCAGCCAATTTACCTGAGCACAGTTCTTCCTTTGACACTTGCTGTATCTGTGTGTGGTTTCGGCATCATTCTGATGCTCTGGTTTCTGGCCGATGATGTCTCTGTGATGGCTTGGTTTTATTATTTAAACAAATAATTTAAACAATAAAATCAAATTTTAAAACCAACATAAAACCCCATGACTGTCCTTTTCAGGCCTTGCAGAAAGTATACTACATGCCTGATGCTCCAATTCATTATGATATTCTATTAGATCTGCCAACAGAAAGTGCATTTTGAGTTTCTAAATGTTGTTTCCATTAGAATCAATCACTCCATGCAATTAAGCCAATAGGCTCTCACCATTTCTGCTGTTATGAGCTAAACCATCCTAAATATATTGACAGCTGTCTCCTGGAAGATGACACAAATTAGGTGGAGGGGGCATAAGCCTAAATGTCACCAGTGATAGGACAACAGTTATTCTTTCAGAAATCCACCTAATTTTCATACCCCATAAGGCATGCTGTAGAATTTTTTTTTGCATTGGCAGCATGCAGTAATCGATGTTTTGCATATTACAATCAATAACATGCTTAAATGTTTAAGTTTTGCATTCTTTTGCGATAAACATTGATATATTACAAACTATGTAAAACTGTTCATTGGACTTTTTGTTTGCAGCATGTACTGTATCATTCAGCAAATAAGTGAGCTAAATATTGTTTGTTACAAAACAGATGTCACATGAAATTATGCCATATGTGCTATTAAACATTTTTCTTTTTTTTTTTTTGTAACAGTGAAACCCAAGATTTCGTTTCAGAAGTGAGTGTATTTGGCTTTTCAAGGACTTGAAGCATGAAAACAACATCTCTAAAATATTTTTAAATCTGCTGTGCATCTTGCAATCCAGTTTCATAGGTGGAATCTGAGTGTTTTAAATGCAGATACATTAAAAATAATGAAATATGCTAAAGGTATGCTTGCATTACTACTTCTCCACAGGTTCTACTAATTTATCATAGAGGAAAATGAGAATTTTCTACTTTAGCCCCACCACTTAAAGACTAAGGCTTTTATCACACTGGGACCCTTTAATACATGTTCTGTAACTTGAAAATTAATATGCCATTTTCAGTCACCTAAAAAAAGAGTCCAGTTAGTGGATGTATAAAATCTTCTGTAAGCAGTTTTGTGAATAGGGGGTGTATGGAATTCACTGAGGTCAGGGATGGTCAAAGCAGACTTGCTTCAGGGTGAAGCCCAAACCCAGTAATTCTGCACGAGGTAAAGGAGCACGTTCCAAGACTCAACATTAATTGTTTTGACAGAACCATATATGTGAAAGCAGAGCAATCTATATCTCTAGACTCTCAAAGTGTGAACTCCACAACAGAGTGAGCAGAATGCGGGAAACATGTTGCTAAGAGCCACACAGTAAAACAAAATCTGGTTGCCACAAGAAGAGTGACATTGGCATCAGAGGCAAAGACACTTACACCCACAAAAGGAAACACAGCATTGGGAAAGCAAGGAGAAGAGGAGCAGATGCAGCAGCATGAGGAAGAAACTCAAAGTAGAGATCTTCAGACTCCATATGTAGTTTTCTTTCTCTTATTCATCAAAAGGAGGAAGACAGGGTAAACAAAAAGGGAGATAAAGACAAGAAGGTGAAGAAAATATTTTTTTTCTTCTTTTTCCCCCCTGAAGGCAAATACTTGCTTACATTTCTAAACATACTATCTTTGTGAGGCTTCTCTGTAATACAAATAACTAATTGCTTGCCAGTGAGCAGTAAAACTGAGAAGAGTCCTTGATCTCCCAGCTTGGTAGAGATTCCTGAGGCTTCTAGTCAGTAAAAAAACCCTGCAAATAAACTTTAACACTTCAGTGGATGGAGTCTCTCCTCCAACACTACAAGCTTCCTCATGAAGCTAGACAAATTCACCTTGGACCCCAGGACACTGGGCCAGGCCTGGTGAAGCTGCCTTCCACAGGTCACAGCTGCATCAAATCCCCTTCCTGCTTTCTCCTGGAGGTTAGTGTCACCTTTTTCCCATCCTATCCATCGTTTTGCAGGTTCTCTTGGATTATTTGTGGGGGAATGGCAGATGGGGCCACCATGAAGGACGACTGCTGTGACTCGTTCACACCACCACACACATGGGAGACAGATAAATACCAGTTTATTGGCTCGCTGGATTTTTCCCACAAGGAGAAGCTTTTCCAGCACAGTGATGCTGCAAAACTCCCATGTCTCCAACCAACCAGCCCCACCAGCTCTGCCTTAGACTGACACCAGGAGGACGAGCCCTTGTTTTGGTGCCCACCCTGCAGGTCAGCTCAGAGGTCTGGGGATAGAGATCCCTTGTCACCACCAGGATGGGCACCTGGTGCCAGCAGGTGCCCTCAGACCTGGTGCTGCAATGCCAAGTACCATCCTGAAAGTGCTGGTTTTTCTGATCTAACATGCCTTGGCCAAGTCTAAACAGGGTTTTTATCTATAGTGCAAAACACAGTAGAAGCAGATCAAGCATTTCCCTGGGAAAAAGCACAACCATGGAGTAGCAGGCAGGAACAACTATTCTGCAGTAACTTCCTTCGTGGCAAATCCTTAGTTCACACCAGATCTTCAGCATAGAAAACATGCACAACTTCTAAAAAAATCAAACAAAGCTTTTTTTTTTTCCTGAAAATATACTATTTTCCACCCAAGATTATTTTTAAATTATCTAGTCAGGTGCCAGCATTTGGGGTGGTAGATTCTTTATAAGTGCCAAGGATCTGAGAGCAGGAAAGATTACAGGTAACCCTGCAACCCTGATTGAATGCAAATAGAGTTGTAAAAGCTTCCTCTTCTCCCTGCCTCCATATTGCACCTTATGCAGCAAAGTGCTTAGTGCATGATAAAAATAGCTAGATCTTTCAAAATCTTAGAAGAAAGGTACTTGAAGGTTTTTCTTTAAACGTTGTATTTTCTTAAAGGCAACATAATGAGGTCAACCAAAGCTGGATTCAGGCTGATAAACTGTGTTTAGGAGAAACCAGAGGTTGAGCGAGGGGGTTTTAGCAGAGGAAAACAAAGAGAATGATTGCAAAAGTCAGATCTCAAAATGTTAATCAGATTCAGAAACATAAAACATGACAATTAAATGGTGTTTGGTTAAAACCAGAAAATTTTAAAGTTCTAAGCATCTTACATTGAATTCTAATACTTTTTTAATTATTAGATATAAAATGCTTACAATTTTCACTGAAAATTAGACTTGGTAATTTATATTTCTTGTTTATACAGTACAATTTGCTGATGAAAAAAATGTGCTAAACTTATTGATTCATGACCATAATTGTTTAATTATTTATCATTGCAGAATTATATTAGCATTTATAATAATGCAGATGTGCACAAAGGCTAAGAAGTCATATACAGCCTTTTGTTTTGTGTTTGCTGTGCTGAAATTAGGTTGATCCAGGTTGTGTGTGCACACTGCATATTGCAAGTGTTGCAACTCGGTGTCTTTTGGTTTTGCTGGAGTTAGAGGGGGTCTAACCAATAGCCGCAATAATGAAAACGCTCCGATAACTAATAAAGAATATAAATCCAAAGCCAACAGCATCTCAGAAGAAGTCTCCTCTCAGGCTGACTCCTCTGTTGCCATGATGCACATTAAATTCAGTGCAACACACGCACAGCTGTTTGCTCCGTACCACCCACAGCAAAGGAATAGCTGTGTGTGTTTGGTACAGGGGAAGCCAACGAGAGCTGCACACCACAAAAATTACAACCAGCTAAGCCAGCCAAAATCTTCTGCGTGAGGCCAGTTAAAGAAGAACATAAGATCTCTTGATACGAGAGAAACACATTCCTTTAATTTTCATCTTTATTTTAAGGGATCATAAACAGTGGAAGAAAATGACAGATGCCTCACTTCAGCCTCTCCTCCCCTCTGTGTGCTAAATCTATTCCCTCAAGGAGCTCCAATAAGACTGACATACATCCCTTTCTGGAGAGCTGCTAAAATAGCTTTGCCATGGGCTTCACAAGAAATTTGTAACACTGAGTGTGTCTTTCTGGACTCATCCTTTTGACATATTGATAGCCAAGGCTGCCATTGCCTCTCCCCTCTGCGCTCTTTTCACCTAACACTATTTACTGGTGCTACCTTTTCATAATTAAGAGTCCGTATCAAAGCAGTTGTAACACCATTTAAGCAGCTTTTCTAAGGAATCAAATCTAAATGAAAAGGCAAAGTATAAAAATGCCCCATCTTCCACTGTGCCTAACTGATTTGCTCTGCATTTTATCCTCAGGGAGGTGCTGATTCCAAAAGCCAGGGAAGAAGAGCCATTCACAAAAGCAGCATCACACAACCAGCAAGGACTGATTGTGCATTGTACACCCACACATGTCAAGGGTCTCTGAAAGCAGCCCCCCAGCCATCTCTGGCCGTGGTGGCTGGATTGTTTGTCACAATTCACGGAGTGAGCATTTAACCTAGTGACTCCTGCATCACAGCACAGGCCAGGTATTTGTTTCTTTTGTTAGACTAATATTGGTAACAGAATAACACACTCATTAGTGGTGATAATGATTATACAGCAAGGTAGAATAGCAATTCTTCCACTGTACCGCACAGAGGAGTCAGTTTCATTAATTAATGAAATTTATTAAAGAACACAAGACAATCAAAGAAAACACACTTTGGTTAAGCATTTTCTCAGATGCTGATCATTGGCTCAGTGACTTTAAACCTTTCCACCTGCTATAAAAATGCTACCTTGTGCCATACAGAGGGAAGAGGGACAGGAGAGCACACCCTGGCTCAGAGGTGGGCAAGCACCCTTCCCACCTTGGCTGGCAGGAACAGAAGCCCCCATGGAAGCTGCAAAAGGCTCCAGAGCAGGAAAAACCCAGAGGAGCTAGACAGCAGAGGATGAACTGTGTCCTCACACTGAATCACTCCATTTCCCAGCTGGCTCTGTCTCTGTGTAATGTAAGAGACCAGTTCTTCTGGGAGTGCTTCTGCAAGGCCCTAGCCACACCTTCAAGAAGTTTGGGCAAGGACTTCTGAGCAGGATTATTTCAAATATTTTGCACATATTAAAACCTGAATACTCCTAAACCTCTCACAGGGATGGCAATTTAACAAATTATTTACCAGAACTGCATAACAACATACAGGTTTTGGTTTTCCCTAATGAAAAAAAGAAAAACAAAAGCAAATAACCCAAAACAAACAACTATGGCAGAGTAGAGACTTGAATCCAAGTTCCCAGTCTCAAAGCTATCATAGGCAGCAGTGCCTGCATTTCTTTAAGTGATCACATTCCTACATGACTGTCATGTCAGATTCTAATTCTGGCCACCAACACACTGCCATTTGCTATCTGGGGGATTTATTGGCATTGCCAAGCAAGGAAATACCAGTGTTCAACTGTACATTTGCTGCTCAAACACTTTTAGGGTGAAAAAGGTGGTGACGAGAAGTAAGGTTGCTATAGGGGCTGCAAGACTGAATTTCCTGAATTTGCCCAGGAATTAGTTACCTGACATAGTATTTCTGATCTTCCAATTGGATCCTCGATTTTTAGTTTCCCCACCATGAGAAAGCAATTGCTCAGTGCTGTGCAGAGATGCTTAAGAAATTAGAAAATGCCTGAATACAACAGACACGACAACAGGGGACTCAAAACATGCCATGGCAGCAAACCAGAGAAGGTATATCTCAACTTAATTGCTCACTCTGTTTTCCTCAAATACATATGTCTTTTAGGAAATGACAATAAACTGCAATCTATTTTTATTATGATCTTCCCAGGTGGTGTCATATCTACATTAAACCAAACGTGTCTGGTAAGATCTATGTGCCAAAAGTCAGACCCTAGTTCAGTTTAAAGTGTTTTTGTAGACCAAGACCTATCCATTAACCAGACAGACACATCTAACAGCAGAGAACAACTTTTTTAAGTAATGCTT